CCAATATCCAGGTCAACAGCGCAACAATGACATACACTTATAGCTTAATGACAAGCACCCAATATCCAGGCCACCAGCGCAACAATGACATACACTTATAGCTTAATGACAAGCACCCAATATCCAGGCCACCAGCGCAACAATGACATACACTTATAGCTTAATGACAAGCACCCAATATCCAGACCCCCAGCGCTACAATGACATACACTTATAGCTTAATGACAAGCACCCAATATCTAGGCCACCAGCGCAACAATGAAATAACCTTCAGACATGCCATCCCTTGCAATGCCTCCCCCAACCCGGGCACACACATGCACACACGAGGTTCGTCACGTCACACGAGGTAAGAATCGAGTAACCATGGCGACAGCTCCTACCTCATCAGCCTCATCCATCTTGTATGTCATCTTGTTTACGGACTCGCCGACTCTATTGAAGAGCCGCATAACTCCTGCGCCGCTGAGGGCTGAGGTTCCCGTAGCCTTCGGAAGATCTGCATCCAGCTCCAGAAACTCACGAAAGTCTGCATCGACTTGTAGGGTCGGGTTTGATGCCGTTCTGTTAAGATACCTGCGTCGAGATTCAGGTGAAACTAGTGTTAGTTAGATTAATCAAATTACAATAAATTTCAGGATATTTGAGAATAGTACATATTAAATATTACATATTATAGTTCAACTCTATTTTTGATATTTGCTCATTTATAATACATGCTTCAGGTCACAGCAATGAGAATTTAAACTCACACCTTTCAAGAATATCACACATCTAATATTTTACTCAACTTTGAATAGTTACTAATATATATGTGATGGCTAACGATATCAAATTGATTACACATGTAAAAATTATCAGATCCCACACACCTTTCCAGAGATGCTCTTCTCTTTTCGACAAATTCATCATGGGCGAGTTTGCTATCATCGTCTTTTGACATCTTTACCTTTGTCGTGCCTAATGCAAAATTTCAAACTAAACTATGCTGCCTACAAGTACAACAGAGTAGTTATTGAAACATTCATGTGTAAAAGTATGTAGTTTTGTAACATTATCACCAGGGTATCTATTATTCAGCACTCTTTGAGATATAACACATCATTGTTATATATCTATTATTGTTACAACTGCTACCATGCTAGGTGTAAGCATGAAGTTAATGAAGAGCCTATCACCTACCAATAACACTCTTATCACCTACCAATAACACTCTTATCACCTACCAATAACACTCTTATCACCTACCAATAACACTCTTATCACCTACCAATAACACTCTTATCACCTACCAATAACACTCTTATCCCCTACCAATAACACTCTTATCACCTACCAATAACACTNGTCACACCGCATCATACAGCGTCACACCGCGTCACACCGCATCACACCGCATCACACCGCGTCACACCGCGTCACACCGCGTCACACCGCATCATACAGCGTCACACCGCGTCACACAGCGTCACACCGCGTCACACCGCGTCACACCGCGTCACACCGCGTCACACCGCATCATACAGCGTCACACCGCATCACACAGCGTCACACCGCATCACACAGCGTCAC